AAGCATGTCGAGTGTGCTTAATTCCATAAATTCAAAATGATATGTATCCACTTCTTTCTAAGATACTCCTTTTGTTCACCTTTGGGGAATGCTAGGGAATTGGTAAATAAAGGAAAATAATGTAGTATTTATCTTTATTTTTCTGGACAAACTGTGTCTCACAATTACCAAATGACTCTTCAGGGAAATTTCCTTTTTGTAGCTATCACATGAAGAAGGAATAAAAGAATTAGAATACAATCATTTTGAAATCACAGATTATAAAATAATAGATCTAGAAAATAATTATCATTGGATGTGAACATTAGAGCTTTGTTGTCCTTCTACTTTTTGTTTTGTTTTGTTTTTTGAGACAGGGTCTCACTGTAGTTGAGACTGACCTGGAACTCACTATGTATCCCAGGCTGGTCTTGAACTCACAGAAGTCCTCCTGCCTCAGCCTCCCAAGTGCTGGGATTATAGGCGTGCGCCACCACGCCTGGCTTGTGCATCTTGATAGACACATAACCACCACCTCTGGAGCATTATTATAAAGGTGCAATGGCTGGATCTGACTTAGCCTCTAATTCCCAAGTTACAAGAAATGCAAAGGATGAACACACTACATATTAACGTGAGGATTCAATGACAAAAATACAAGCTGTAAGAACTTCTGTGGAAAATCTAGTTTCTTCAACAAATAAATTATTTTTGGGAAAAAAGAGACAAATAAGGAATCTATAGTTTTAAAGAAATTTAAAAGTCTTAACAGCTATTTCCATAGATAGACCTTATCTGAATTCTGATTTTTCTCTTTTTTTGTTTTTGATGGTGGTGCTGGGAACTGAACCCAGGGCTCTTGTGAATGCTAGGCAAATGCTCTACCCCTGACATACATTCCCAGCTCTACTTCTTTTTCCTTCATAAATTCTAATTTTAACTACTTATAAAACATGAACTTTCACTCCAAACTTTGAAACAATTAGGGAAATTTCAACACTGACTATTTAATACTCTTTAGGAATTATTGTTCGATTTTAGGGAACTACAGTGGTAGTATCATTATGGCTTCAAAAAAAGCCTTACTTTTAGAGCTACAGTATATAATAAAATTTTTATGGGTGAAATAAGATGTCTTGTATTGGCTTCAAAATAATCTGATGGGGAGGAAGTAGGTCACACAGATAAAATTAGGTTGGTTGTAAGCTGACAGCTCTTAAAGATAGTGATGGGGAACTATTCTCTCAATGTATACACCTAGTAAGACTTTCAAAGAAGTGAATATAAAATTAGATGAAATAAAAAGGAAGATCTGCAAATATTATGAAAACATAGAATTCAGCAAACCCTATACACATATCACAAAATACAGTGGCAAGGCAAACAAACGCCTGGTTTGGGAGGCTGAAAGCTTATAAAATGGCAGTCACTTCTGCTCTAATCACTCCTGACACTCCTCACGCTATGACAGGGTTTCTTCCCAGTGCCTCCTAACCTGGAAGAGACAACCATTACAGGCCCACCCTCCGGAGAGAGAACACATTACATCTCAGCAAGATCCGGAAGCAGTCGCCAAATGAGCAGAGGCTGTGGTATGGCAGCAACAAAGGCGGGCGTGAGGCTGAACTGGGGTCTGTTGCCAAGGAGATGTGAACCTGAGGCCTGAAGAGCTTCCCTGCGAGTCTGTGCAAGGGAGGCAGCATGAGGTGACATACTGTCACCACCAATGGCAAAGAAAGCCTTTGGTGGGAACAGACTAAAATCTCACCTACTTGATGCAATTGCTTTAACTCATGTCATTTCCTGTCATCACCAAGCTAAATTTTAAGCAGTAACATTAAAATCTGATTTTAAAAAACACAAATATTTTAAATGTCCTACAGGAACATATTTAAAGGAACCTAGACTATGAAAGGAAGACCAGGAACAAATTCTGAATCTGGAAACAAAATCAGGCTTTCTCTCTTAGTTATTCATAATACAATTTTAGATTGACTTTTTTTCCTACCATGAAAATCCAGAGTTTATATCCATAGTTCTCAAGGGGAGAGTGCTCATTTCTCAGGATATAAGGAGTAAGAAGTAGGAACCTACAACTTAAATTAACTCTGAGCTGGGTGTGGCAGCTTGAGCCAGTAGTTCCAGCTACTTGGGAGGACGAGGCAGGACGATCACTGGAATTCAAGAGTCAGAGCCTAGCCTAGGAAACACAGTGAGGTCTTATCTTACAACATAATAGCAATAGTAACAACTATAGGTCTAGGTGAATCTGACATCACCATGCCCTCACTAAAGGACCATTCCTTTCTGGGAGGTTCCTGTAAAGTGGCTTAGATCTTTACATTGCTAAATTGTACCTAAGATAACAGAGAGCTGGCCATTATTATTTTGCACTCTGCTGTATGCTAAGCAAAGCTGCAATGTCAGATAGAGGATAATGAGATCCCCCGTCTTCCCACATGCTCACACCACCTCTTGGGCTGCTGGCATGGGCAGCTCCGAGCTGTGAAGAGGGTCCCGAGGAGGGCTGGAGGGTCCCACTTCAGACCATCTGCTGACAAGTGTGCACATGGCTGCCTACCTGCACCACTGTGCCCATCCAGGTGAGGGATGATGACAGGCAGATGATTGCAGTACTACAGTCAAACTTGTGAGCATCACATAGAAGGGCTTGAAGAAAAGCGCTCAATCACCAAAAACACCAAAACCAAAACCACTTCTTACATCTCTGCAATCTTCTTTCATCGCTCAACATACCTGAGACTATTATGGCTTCTAATATTAATGATGCTGACTGCTTCAACTGCCCAAAGCACATAGAACAGCAACAGCCTCCCTCACTGCAAATTATACCTAGTTTTATTCTCGTGATGGCCTCTCATACTGGATGGGCCTGATTCTTTGATAATTACAGTATGCAGTCATTTTTCTTCCTCTAATAAAAAGGACTTTTCTTCCTCTGCACTATTTTCAAAAGCTGCAGTAAATAGGTATGAAATGAGTAGCCCACTGCTATACATCTTATGAATAGGAAAGATCCGTGTGTGTGTGTGTGTGTGTGTGTGTGTGTGTGTGTGTGTATAGTAATGGGTATGGAACCTAGGGCCTTTTCACTGAGCAACATCCCCAGTCCCTTTTTAATTTCTGAGACAAAGTCTCACTAAGTCACCAAGGTACCCAGGCAGGGCTCAAAGTTGTGATTCTGCTGCCTTGGCTTCCCAGAGTGCTGGGATTATGGGCATGAAACATTATGCCCAGCTAAAGATCTTGGTTTCTGAGCTCTTTGTCAGTGACAACTCTCCTCATCGCATAATCACGTACATAGTGAAGCTTATGGTCTGCAGAAGAACCTGGATAGCAAAAAAAAAAAAAAAAAAAAAAGACTTTGTCAGTGACAACTCTCCTCATCGCATAATCACGTACATAGTGAAGCTTATGGTCTGCAGAAGAACCTGGATAAAAAAAAAAAAAAAAAAAACAACGGTCCTTCCTGCTGCCCTTTGTTGCCACAAACCTTATACAACCAGGAGTTGGTAATACCATTTAATATTTCAACGTGTTAACTTTCAAATTACTTTAAGAAACAAAAATTAGGGAAAAGGAAAAAATGTGAGAAAATGAAAAGATGGAAATAAAGTGTTTGTAAACAGGGAAGGGAAGGGGCAAGGGGAAAAATGAGAACGAGAACCAAGACCTGTCCTGTAAAGGTACAGGATCCCAATGATGAATGTCACTGTACTGTGTACCTAACATCTACCAGTAAACTCAATTACAAAAAGAAACAAAAATTAAAATTTTTATTTAATATTAAAAACTACATTTAACAAAACCAAAACAATTATTTACGTTGGTCTCTAAAAGCTCTCTACATATTGGAAAAACTTGGACTCCTGATACTTCATTGATATTACTCTGCCAAATTTCCATAAGGAAAGGATTATGATTAGTACACAGCAGGTACTAGGACTACTTAGGGTATGACTATTCAAAGAATTAGTAACTCTATTTGAATTACTCATCTTTCGCATTCTAGTCACTGTCATGTTTTTAGTACATAAGGACGCCTGTGCTAACAGGGACAGGACTTAAGGAGGACAAGAGAACTCTCCTTTGTGAAGGCACAAGATTCTATTTTAGGGGCATCTTGTCTCCTCCAGCTGAACATATGGAGTCACTTTTCAAAGCAAGCAACAGTAAAGGTACAGATTCAAGGATGTCATCAGTTTAACTGTGATCTTTGCAGGTCAGGAGTTAGAAGGTGGAGCATGACCAAAAAAAAAAAGGGAATAAGCAGTCTAGGGGGAAAAGCCACTTATGGTATCTTGAACATCAAGACCTGGGATGGATTTTATACAACACCTAGCTAAGTATTACCAAATCAAAACCCAAACAAAACACAATAGAAAACAAGCAAACAACTAATCCAAGATTAAAAATACCCTTTGGAAAGATAAGCCAAACAGCATTTCCCACCAACTAACTTGAGTTTTGCAGTGAGAGTTCAGTCACTCTGGTCTTAAATTATAGGTAGGTACTTTCTTGAGGTAAACTTGGCTAAGCAGGGCAAATATGGACTGATATATTCCTGAAAAAGAAGCCCAAGCATACCACTCTTAAGAAATCAAAAGCCAACATACACTCACAGCCTTGGAAAGTATAAGTATCTGATCAATATCCGACTTTCTCCACAATCTCACTTACCATTACATATAGAAAAGCCTTTGGTAGGAAAGGCTTCACCTGGCTATCAAGAGAATTCCTTACCTTGCAAATCTGAATGGATCATTAAAAACAATTTCATTTTGTAACTATTTGTATAATATTTATATTCTTTTAAGTTTACTAGAATTATTTTGGCTGCTTCTAAAAATGTAAGCCATCCCCTCTGTCACTCAGCCAAAAGGCATTCAGATCAACTACAGCCCTTGGAGCTGATTAAGATGAATTAATAGAATAACAAAATATTTGAAGACAGAACGTTTAATTTAAGTACTTAAATTAAATATAATTGTAATACTTACCTAGCAGTCCCTTCTCCAGAGTGAAGATTTTATTTGTAAACATGCATTCAAAAGCCACAATGTGAAAAATCTTGTTCACTGTGTTGTGAGTCCCAACTATTCGAATATACCTGAGGGTAAAAGGAAAAGAAAATCCATTGGAAATAAACTCCACCACAACCAATCCAAGGATAAGGAACATCATTTCAATATAGAGTACCAGAACATGGACTAGAGGAGACCCTGAACTTGACTTTGGACCAGGTTACTGGCTCTCAGGCTGGCTCCAAGTGAGCCTAGAAGAATCACAGCGAACCAGGGAGCTATCATTCCCCAGAGAATTCAGTATAACTTAGATTTAAATTCACCTAGGAAAAAATAATCACACCAGGTACTTTTCGGATCAACCTTTGAATGTCAGTACAAGTCCACGTCCTTGAGGCATTTACACTAGAGAATAACAAACAGCTTCTGCCCTCACCTCATGGTTAGGAATGTATCTGTATGCATGTGCATGAACTGGCAAAACCAAATGCTCTCCAACTCAGTGAAAGGTCCTGTCCACTGGAGACAAGTGCATGAAATCAATATTGCTTTCCTCTTTAAAAGGAAAAGTCTACAGAAATACTGAAAACCACCCACTGTGTCTTTTGTTTCAGTATTGCCCTAAATCCTTGTTAGGAAGTTAACTGTACATACTCACACCAGGCCCCTGCCCCTGACCGCTTGCTGGGAAGTAAGTCCTCTCCTGACCAGAGGACGTGATCTGCAGAGATAGCCCACCCTGCCCTGCACCTCCCTCCTGACTACACAGAGCTGGCATCTGTACCCAGTGCATTTTCGCCAGGCAGGTCTTGAGCATCTTGGCCTACTCACCCCACCTCCCCAGAGGCTTCATCCCCAACAAACAAGTGTTAAGCTTGGCGTGACTTGCTCTCTTAGCTGTCTGAAGGGACCAACAGTTCGCAGGTTAACGAACAAACTTACTCTTCTGAGTGCCACACAATTCCATGGGAAATGTGCCACACACACACACACACACACACTGTCTATTGGAATTCAAAGGAAGGAACCAAGAAAAATAACTAGATTAACTGACAAATTATGAACTATGCACTCTGAAGGAAGGGGCATATTAAATGAACAGATTTCAATTAGGACATGACAAACTGGCAAAGTCTTAGTAAAATCCTCCTTCTGTGTGTAAAACAACTTCTGATTTAGACATGATATCATTCTACTTCTGAGTTAATCGCCGTTCACTAATTTGGTAATTTCCTTATATTTCTTATCGCTCCGAGTTAATTGTATAATATAAAAGCTGATTTTCAAAATTTACATTAAGGAGACTATATTTAGGGTTTCTGTACCATGGGCTATATCCCCTCCTGTTTCTTCAAGCCTGAATCTCATGGCATTCCCTGTGCACCTCATTTAGCCATCTGCTCCTTGACACAAGCTGATCACTCATCTTCTGAACCAATATTAATGCCATCTCCTAGACTGGCTGTTCAGTGTGCTCAAACTCACTGCGGCCAGACAACTCTTCCTGTGTGGAGAATCAGGGCTATAGTTATTCGCACCAAAGCCCCCTGGTTAAGCAGGAGGTGAGCCCTGATCTCTTCAGACATCAGGACAAGCAGAAGGTACTGATTTTATGTGGATTCATTTAAAGAAAGTTCCTGAAGGTCTGAGTAGTACAGAATGTGTTGTCTTTTACTGCTGGCACTAACAGCCTCCATAGTGCTTTCTGGAAAGGAAAGGGTGTGTTAAACCTGGCACCTTGGCCTGAATCTAATTTTGTCCATTTCCTCAAACCCATAGGAACTCAACCAGCATAGCATTTTCAACCGCACATGGCCGTGCCAGCCTGAGTGCTGGCGTCTGCAACCTTGGTGGGAATGTGGTCTGGTGGAATTTGATCAGAGAGCTCTCCTGGTCCCCAGGTCCAGCCTCCATCCAGGCAGGGACAGCTCTGCTACTGAACACAGTACAGAAAAGCCAGGGAGTGATGGAAGGCCCTTTCTCCATGGTGGTTCTTAAATTTAAATATAATCCTGGCTGATTTAAAGTGATACTGCAAAGTTCATGCCTTCCTTTTGTCTCTTTTTAAAATATTCAACACAGGTATTCCAAGTTCAGATAATAGTCACTTCCCAGATCTCAGGAACACACAACCTTCCCTTCCCCTGTGCACTCCCCCATCTCCAGTTATAAGCAATTGGAAATAAAAAGTTGTACTGGCATACATTTTACAGTCTTAATGATTTGTGACAATAAACAAAATAATACATGGCTCGAAAAGCACTGAGAGATGCCTCCAGATAAAGTTTCTTATAAATGAAGATAATGTTATCTCTTCTGCATAATCCAGAGGTCATATTGGCAATTCACCACTGTACATCACACTTCTTGATTAACCTGCTATATGTAATGTTCATAACAAGTTTAATTATTCTAGTTTTATAATACTTTCTTTTTTTTTTTTTTTTTTGTACAGGGGACTGAACTTGGGTCTTTGGGCTTGCAAGGCAGGACACCAAACCGCTGAGCATAATTCACAAAAATAGGCATGAAGTCTTTACTCCAAAATACATTTTTTAAAATGTTAATGTCATTAAAAAAAAAAAAGCCATGCTCCTTTTGCTCAAGCAAGAAGTGATAAATATCTCGGGTTTTTCACTACACTGAAGATCTAGACTTGAAATGGCAAATCACTTCACCCAGTGGCCTAACAGTGATGAATGTTGGCTACAGCCTGGAGTTCTACATTAAGAACTTAGAGGCCCCGTCCAGCTCGGGGAAGCAGAGCCCTGATCCCTGAGCAATGCCAAGGGTGCAGGGGACAGCTCAGGCCCATCCTTGATTATAAGCTTATTTCCTGAGGGGACTCATGACAGAGCATCCCAAAGGTATGCTCTCTTTTCACCTTTTTAGAAAAACAAAGCAAGTCTTGGTCATAACACCTAAATGGGAGAAACAGATACCACATTTTCCCTGTCACAAGAGATTCTGAATATCAAACAAGTGCAAGATTTACGGTATTTACTTCTTTGCTTTTCAGCACCATCTCTCCAGGGCACAGTCAGACTCTGATTTAACCTGGTAATGAAGGCAGAGGCGGCTAGTGACTTCACCAGTGTGTAGAGGGACACTGCTGAAAACTCTTAACAGGTATCCTGTGTTCTGCTGCGGTCTTCAACAGCATCTCAGACAGTTGGAAGATAATTAAAACTTAAGCAGTGCTGGGAAAGGCAGATAGGCAACAGATTGGCCAGTTCTGAAGGTGACGAATGCTGTCCACATGAGTCCCAGTGTAACAGTCTGTTTTTAACACTTTCCTCCCTTCCCTATGTTAGCTGTCTTCAAGTAGCTGACAGAGCCTGGGTCCTGACACAGTTCAGAACAGGATGTTCCAATTCCAAAGGCTGTCGGAGCTGTGAGACACTGGGTGAAAGAGTCTGTCTTCTTTAATAAGATAAGGTCCAAACCCTCCAAGGATAGCCAGCTAACACTGAAAGGCACTATAGTTTTGGAACAGTGTGGGCTTTGAAATTCAACAAGACCGACTTTAATAGCCCAGCCCCACCACTTATTTGGAGTGTTATCTGGAGGAGGGGAAATAAATAAATGTTTTTAATTTTTTTTGAATCTTAGTTTCCTCTTCTATAAAGTGAGGTTAGTAATATAAACTTTACAGGGTATTTGAATAAATTAGGTATTTAAAAATACCTAAGGGGTGGAAACTCAAAGAGTAGTCTGCTGGATGCAAAATTTCTTGGATTGGACTTTGAGCACACTGGCTGTCTAGGAGAGCATTCCCGAGGGTGGGTGCTAACATGGTGGTGCCTGCATCACGAAGCAAGACAAGAGGCCAACTTCAACAGGTCTCAACCTTCCTCAGAAGGCAGCAGTGCAGGCACTGTGGGCCACAGAGAGCAAGCTACATTCAGAAAGTAGGTTTCCTGGTGCTATGGTTTTTCTGCTTTGTTCTGTAGGCTTTAAAAACTGTTCTTTACCTGCCTCATCTCTGTATGAGGAAGCAAAGGCACAGTCTCTTGACCATATTTGAACCTGCAATTGGAAGTCCTTCCCTACCTGCCCCTAAGCTTCCATCCTTAACAGAGAAGGTGAAACCCAGGGAGACTGTTCAGAGCCATGAGGTACACTGAGCCATAAGCACTGGAGTTTTTGTGCAAACTCTGGAAATTAGGAGTTTTAATTTATCAAGAAAAACAGAGAGGGGCCAGGGATTTAGCCACCTGCTCAGTGCAAGGACCTGAGTTCAATCCCTGGGGGGGGGGGCAGAGACACAAGAGAGACATCACAGAACTGTGACCTAAAGACATTTTGCTTTAGAGATTTCAATGCATTTCCTACCTATTCTGGAAAGATACACATTTCTACAGTGAAATCTACCTTTGCATCATTTCTTGTCAGGATGCTACCAGAATTAATTTTTAAGTCACATACATCTTTAACATACTAAAGAAAATACAGAAAAATAGCTACTTGTATATTTCTACCTTAAACTTCTGGTTTCTTCTAGTCTTTAGTTCTGGTGGACCACAAGCCTGTGTGCTAACAGTTAATCCTTAACCTCTGCTTCAGTTATGTACTGTTCTGTGCTGTGCACATTTTATTACAAGATAAAATTGAATTTAGTAAGAAATATTTAAATGAGCTCTGGAGGATCAACTAAAGCCAAATGCCATTAGAATTCTACTTCTTGATAAAAAATTTTATTCTCAAATTCAACTTTATGTTCTTGGGTTAAACAAAGACTATCAAAAACTAGAGTCAGTAGAAGACTGGTATTCAAGAAAGGGTCCTTATCATTTTGGTTCTTCTACCAAGTAGCCACAGAGAACTGAGGAGAAAAACTGTTCTCTGCTGTGGCCAGAGACTGTCACCTGAAGAGAACTTTAGCTATAGCATTTACTGCAGATTTAGGACCACCTAGGGTTGAAGTCACCATTTCTAAGTCTTCCTATTTGATCTTTCCCTTCAAAGAGATACTGACAACATATATGAATAATTCTTTTGGCCAAGAAGCAGGTAATATTGGTGGGTTTCCCACTATAATATTTTATTCTAGTTCTGGGCATAATGTTAGTACACTTATAATCAA